TTATATATTTTATTTGAAATCAAATTCAAAGGGCAAGATCAGCATGAGAGGTACAATGTAAAAAGTTTTGTACATTGCATTAACTATTCAAAAGTTGTCACTAAAGTAAAAATATTTATATCCACTAAATATTTTCTCCTTTATTTCTTTAGAAAACCCATTGCATTAATCACTACATGAACTACATTAGGCATGTCGCCTGTACAAATTTCTTGATCAGTGGCTGTTCCATCAATGGCACGTATAAAGACGTTCTCATCATTAATACAATAATTAATTTTTTTAATCCTACTTTAAATGATTATTTAAACAGATATAAATATAAATTAACAAGAAAATGTCTTTCTTTGTTTGTTATTACTGGAATTGACGGTCGGTCGCAGCTATTGCAGAAATTTTTTTTTTTCTGCAACAGCTGCTTCCATTAATTCAAGTGATACAAACAAAGAAAGCATTTTATTGTTTAAATGTTTTCCAAATGAAGGTCAAATTATACGAGCAATGTCTAAAAATGTTGGTACCAAAAGAAAGAAAACACTTGTCATACAAAGACCCCGGCATCACAAGTCAGGTTCTCTACCCAAAGAAATAAATCAAAATAAATTTAAAACATTAAAATATTTATCATAATAATTAGACAAAATTTTCATTGTGTAAAAAAATAAGGAAATTCTAAACATTTCTCATCAAAAAAGTTCAAATGCCAAGGTAGTTTATTGAGTTAGAGCGATCTGCCCTTTTCATGAAATTAATGACACGATTTGAAATACATGAAAGATTTAAAGATTATACATGTATCATAATTAGACCCAAGTAGCATATATTTCCAAACATAAGGCAACAACATTTTCTGTTTAGTACTACTAAAACAAAAAACTTCATTGCTGTCATTCATTTTTGTACTGGGGGGTGGGTGGTTAGGTCATCTTACGTAAGATACATGTACTAAATATTCAATATGAACTAAATTTTCTCAGTGCTCAAAAGCAATGTTTTTTTTTTCATTTTGGTCTTACATCCAAACAAGAGGCTCATGAGCCACATCTCTCTCTTGACAAGGTGACCAGACTGTTCTTTACCAGATTTCCCCATTGTAATGCATTTTGTGACCCATCCTTTTCGCATGGTTCAAAATATGGACAATTTAAAATTTACACTTGAATTCATACAATAAAAGGTAAAAATTTTAAGTATTTGTAAATCATATATTTTATTCATGTGGAGAATAATATTGCTGTTAGCGGTCTCCAAACAACCAGCCGGAGCTGCTGCATGGGCTCTATGTGTAGAGATGATCTTTATCTGCTGGACACTTTGTGTTTAGATTGTCGTTATCTGCTGGACTCTTTGTGTTGAGATTGTCGTTATCTGCTGGACTCTTTGTGTTGAGATTGTCGTTATCTGCTGGACTCTTTGTGTTGAGATTGTCGTTATCTGCTGGACTCTTTGTGTTGAGATTGTCATTATCTGCTGGACTCTTTGTGTTGAGATTGTCGTTATCTGTTGGACTCTTTGTGTTGAAATTGTCGTTATCAGCTGGATTCTTTGTGTTGAGATTGTCGTTATCAGCTGGATTCTTTGTGTTGAGATTGTCGTTATCTGCTGGACTCTTTGTATTGAGATTGTAGATATCTGCTGGACTCTTTGTATTGAGATTGTCATTATCTGTTGGACTCTTTGTGTTGAGATTGTCGTTATCTGTTGGACTGTTCGTATTGAGATTGTCGTTATCTGCTGGACTCTTTGTGTTGAGATTGTCTTTATCTGTTGGACTCTTTGTGTTTAAATTGTCGTTATCTTCTGGACTCTTTGTATTGAGATTGTCATTATCTTTTGGACTCTTTGTGTTGAGATTGTCGTTATCTGCTGGACTCTTCATGTTGAGATTGTCGTTAACTGCTGGACTCTTCATGTTGAGATTGTCGTTATCTGCTGGACTCTTTGATTGTAGTATTGTACGTTATCTGGACTCTTTGTATTGAGATTGTCATTATCTGTTGGACTCTTTGTGTTGAGATTGTCGTTATCTGTTGGACTGTTTGTGTTGAGATTGTCGTTATCTGCTGGACTCTTTGTGTTGAGATTGTCTTTATCTGTTGGACTCTTTGTGTTTAAATTGTCGTTATCTTCTGGACTCTTTATGTTGAGATTGTCGTTATCTGCTGGACTCTTTGTATTGAGATTGTCATTATCTGTTGGACTCTTTGTGTTGAGATTGTCGTTATCTGCTGGACTCTTCATGTTGAGATTGTCGTTATCTGCTGGACTCTTTGTATTGAGATTGTCATTATTTGCTGGACTCTTTAATTTGATATGGTCGTTATCTGTTGGACTCTTTGTGTTGAGATTGTTCAGGGGAGATATTCGTCGTATCCGAGAGATATTTAAGAAGAAGATTGCTCATACACAGACTCAAAGATTATTCAAACGCAGAAATCAAAAGAACTTTTTATCAAAATGAATTGCAAAAAGTGGATGTTTGTGAAGATGACGTGTTTAAAGTAGAAAAGATCATAAAAACAAAAGGCCGAAGAGACAATAAACAATACCATGTAAAATGGTTACACTGGCCTTCAAGATTAAATTCGTGGATCAATACCAATGATGTACAAACTTATAGCCGAAATTTTGTCAAACTGTATACCTAATTTCATCATCATAAAAGCAAGTTTGTAAATGAAACTATTTATGCATAATTAATGCATATGTCCATAAAAATGATACATGTATGTTATTGTGTTTGCTTCATCTCAACAATAAATATGAGAATAAAATCAGTTTGCTTGTTAATATTTTCTTTGAATTGAAGTTTTATTGCTAAGAGTCAAAAGGATTTTTTTATCCTTGTCCTTCACTGGACTATAATTTAAAGGTTTTGTGTTCTTACTTTTGTTTATAAAAATTAAAAAAAGATTACCTTTGTTCTCTAAAAGAGGACATGAGTTAAACTGAAAATTAAAATTTCGTTCGTATGTCATAAAATTATCCCCGAAAGATTTAAATTTTCATATAACCTTGATAAATTTTTTCACCTGTAAATGTTTCGGTTGACTGATGCCCCATTTAAATGTCTCATTCAACACTGTCCCATTTTAAAACCTCCATAATTCAAATGCTCTTTGCGTCCCATTTATTGACTTGATCGTTTAAAGGGACTCATCTGATCAACGATATTATTTCTGTTGTTTTCTTCAACAATGACCGTCATTTATTTCCATGACCTCTCGGAATTTCCCATCCTTAATTAAGAAATTGCTTTTGTTATATTCTTTACCATCACTTCTGTGACCTGTTGTTTCAAGATTTAATACTCAGTGACGTCATGGGATTATCAATCTCTTCTTTTGATTATTACCAATTGTTTGAAATCATTCATGAGTAAAGAGGGTGTGTTTATTTCTATGGTTATTCATGAATTCATTGGCTCCACAGCTCCACTGTGGAGCCCCATGTTAAGTATCTGCGCCAGAAAGGGTACTTTTACACTACTAATAAAATTTTGTTAACACGCATACATTCGGAAATATTGAATGATATGGATAACAATGTTGACCAGAAATTTAAAAAAAAAAATCCTCCGATCGCTGTAAATATTCACGCAACGGATGAATGGATTTTTTTTATTTCAACATATCTCAGAGACTTTAAAAACGTATATATGAAAATGTCTTGTGAAAGAAATTCACAATTTTGATTTCCTAATATTTTGCCTATGTATTTTGTTTTAATCATTTTGGCATGTATCCATATTATCGATATACGACGTATAAAACACTAATAGAGTTATCATCTTGGAATTCCGAGCTCTATTTCTCGACCTTAATCCAATCGAATATGTATTGGACGAGCCTGGAAGACGGTGAAAAAACGTCAACGGCAACCCACAAGCGTGCCAGAATACGAAAGGACTCTACGGGAAGAGTGAAATAACATTCCTATGAGACGAATTCGAGCTGTTTACAAATCCATGAGGCTCCGCTTTAGAGCATGTGAATTTGCAAATGGTAGTCATACACGTTACTAAGCAAAACGGCAAAAAATGTGTACAGTGTGACTTTAACTGTTTGCCGTGAAAAAAACTCGGTCAACAAATTCGTTGATTGTATTGGAAATGAAGACATTCTATGGAAAATTTAACAAATGACAATAAAAGCTATCTCAATAGGCGTTTTTAAAGTCCCTGACTATCTATACACTATTTTTTAAATCATGGTGATTTATTTTACTGAAGATTAAAAAAAAATATTATGTAGAATTGGTTGCTTTCTAGTTTTTACACGTGATCTTTCTTTTTTACAAAAAAAAATATACAATTATTGCTGTTTTTTTTTTAGGTCAATACAATGATTTAGCCATCTGAGGAGTACAATATTCACCGAGCCCGAAGTTAGTATACACAAAGCATGCATGAACACACGGATATCTTTAGCTTATTTGAATTAGTTATACCTATTATATTTTGTAATATTAACAACAACATGAATAGTAAAAATTTTGGTTTCATTTAAGTTCATATAATCTACAGAAGACTTGTACCTACTGAATATAGGACAGTTGAACTTCGATATCGCTAGACAGAACGTTATATCGTTAAAATGATATTGTCCTACGGACACGGTTTAACAAGCAAAAGAAACACGGGCTCGTACGAAACTCGTACTCAGTGCATTTACTACGAAAATCAATTGGATTTTTGTCTTTATATGGATTATTCTTGGGGATAAAAGGCATACGCAATCTCAAAAAGGTTTGTTTTTGACTAATTTGGTAGTTATTCTGAGTGCAAATCTTTTTATATTCTTCAAAATCATCTCGGAACTTATCTGCTCCGCTTCGCTACATTGCAACAGTTGCAAGTATATGGGACGTATTCTAACTGTGGTGAGGGCTTGTACACCGAGACTCAGTTAGATTATTCTAACTAGTGTCATTGATAATGATGAAGGGGGTTCATTTCTTTGGCTGCAGATGATGGTTGATGTTCATAGATAAAAAAAAAGAATTCTAAATGTTTATACCAAAAACAAAAACAAAAAACTAATAGAATAACTCTCAGAATATATATTACAGAAAAATAGATCCTGCACATGCTTCAATGATAAAGATAAGGTAACTCCATGGCCAGTCTCTCTCCAGCAAGGCAAATATCACAAGTCTCTGATGGTAAGGAATTGTGTGTGAAAATACAAAATTTATTTAGCGCTGCTTATAACAGGTCCAGTACAATCACTAGATTTAGCTACGTAGCTATATTTACTTACCTCAGGTATTTCAAGGTATTAACTATTTCAATGAAACTTTTTACAATTTTTCTTTTTATTAAAAGGAGAAACAAAATCAAATCTAAATCACTATTAATATTTATACTAAGGAGTTTTTAAAAAACAATCCAAAGCAGAGATAGTTTATGCATTACTGCATTTGGACAAATTGGGGAAACACATGTAATTCCATTGTTTGGTTAACTGCCCTCTCTGTTGGGTACCGTGAGGCATGACTGAGTATAATTACTTCACATTATGCTGAATAATCATCATGTTAAACAGAACCGGACTTCTTTGTCATTTCATTCAAGAAGTAACTGCTCTAACTTTCAAACATAGCCCCAAAACCTTTAGAACTTTAATTGCAATCACAAAGAAAAAGACAGTCTTCAAGAGAGATTTCTACATGAATTGTTAATGAGTTCATAGTTGAAAATGAGAACTGCACCAAAATGAGATTTTCTGCACATCTTGAGAAAAATGCTTTTTTATATATTAGATAAATAGTTAAGGTAGCTAAATAAAGCTACCTCAGGTAAATAAAGCTAAGTAGGTAAATCAAGCTACGTAGCTAAATATAATGATTATACCAGACCTGTCTAAAGCGCTCTACATTTAAAATATATTGATCAAAGAGATAATGATTTATACATATAGAACAAAACTCTGTACGTCATCTGATCTATAAGTTTATTTCTGATATTCATGTATCTGAAATATTTTTTGCAACCAAAAACATGTTACAAACGGCTAGCAAATACAATCTCTTAGATATGTTTGAAAACAATTGTAGCATTATATACAGTAAAAAGGAATTTTAATGTATGATTATCAAAACATTATGGACAACAGAGGAAAATCAATGTCGTGCTGCTCTGTCTGTAGATCCTGATATGTCTTTTTTCAGTAAAATACATACTATGTTGAACCCAAATAAATTGTGGCAGATTGCTAGAGAAGATCCCTCAAAAAGATTATTAATCATTTTTTTGATTCAGGTTTCATCGATGAAAATTGTTTGTAAATTTTGTCAATTTTGTGATAAGGTAACAAGTAACTATAATATGCACTTGATGTTAAGTTGCTTTACACTATTAGACGACAGAGAAAATATGTTTGAGGACATTTTAGATATACTTGATGTAAATGAGTATGTTTTGTTTGAGGATCAAGATCCTGAACTACAGTTTTTATCTTTAATGTGATGTGTTTTAAGGCACATGTTTTGAAAACATATCATTCACAAAATGGAAATGCATAATGATAATAGTTTCCTCATCCGTTTATAAAAACAAAAGTCTTTTTGCCATAGACTGTTGAAACCTGTAATGTCCTAGCAGAAAATTGTACATTTATATATATATATATATATATATATATATATATATATATATATATATATATATATATATATATATATATATATATATATATATATAGTTACTATTATATATATATATATTGAAACGGAAAGCCGTTTTCTATATTTTCATTATAGCGAAAGTTATCGCCCTTGTCATTTTAATAACTAATTATATATGTGCTTAAATAAATACTTAATTAGTGTTGAATTTGAATTAAAGTGATCAATAATAATCATTGTATGTTACTTTAGTTGGATTACTAAAGATTGGTTAATTAGAAGCTTGATTAGTTTTTTAAATAGTTTGTAAATAAATAATCACTAAGTATTTTAGATGGTGTTAGGATATATAGGATTTTTACTGGCGAGGATTGCGAGGTCGGTTCTAGAGGTAAAACTTGACAAACCTGTGTGTGTACATATAAGTGTGCGGACTTCCCTGCTTATATTGTACTGTTTTAAGTAGTAAGTGTGTGGTCATCCCTGCTTATTACTTGACAGAGTGTGTGGTCATCCCTGCTCTATGATTGTCATCTTAAAGTAGAAAGTGTGCGGACATCCCTGCTTGTTGCTGCGCAAGATCAGGTGTGTGGACATCCCTGCCTGCATCTTGTGGTAGAGCATTGGTGTGCGGACATCCCTGCCAGTGTCTCTAGCCTGGAACCGTGTACTAGTGTCAAGTGTGTGGTCATCCCTGCTTGTCACTGCGCAAGGGCAAGTGTGCGGTCATCCCTGCTTGTCTCTTGTGGAAGTGCGCTGGTGTGTGGACTTCCCTGCCAGTGTTACTTGTTCGCTACCAGTGAAAACCTTATATAACGTAGTACCAAGTGATTAAGACTGCGCATTGTACATATTTGCAGCATCTCAAGGCTATCCGTTTTTATCACGGGTACGAGCCTGCGGGGGTTCACAGGCAGTGACCTCCCTTGCACGTTACAATATATATATATATATATATATATATATATATATATATATATATATATATATATATATATATATATATATATATATATATATATATATATATATATATGTTTTCTTTTTTGCATCTTTTGTTGTTAATTAGTTAATTATCTGTTAATTCATACAAACTCTCCATTAATTTGGAGGAAATAAAGAATATCTTATCTTATCTTATCTATATATATATAAATATATATTTAAAAAGCACTAAAAAACCAACAACACTGTATAACCTAAATGTCGGATCTACCAAGTAGCTACAAGGTCACGGATGAAAATTTATATAAAGCACTATAAATTAACAAACTTAGTTACATATTGAAGTGGAAATTGAAGTATACCCGATAGACCGGACGTATTTCATAGCGGTCCGGATTTCTTTCTTTAATTATAGTGCTCTTACAAATTTCCAATTCAACATGTAACTTAGTTTGTAAATATATAGTGTTTAGTAGTAGTGCTAGTTGTTTTTTTTTTCTTTTTGTTCTTATGACCTTTTAACTTTTTTCTTTGTCTTGAGGAAGGGACAGGACGTCCCAAAAATTTGACAATTTTTATTGTTCGTGTCGTTGGTCATTTTAGTGCTTTACATATATATTTATTTATTCATACATGTATTTATTTATACATGTGAAAAACATAATCGTAATGTAACTATCTAAATAATAAAAACAACATATTTATAGCTTGAAAAATAGTAGAAATACCGGAATAATTTATTTGTTGATTTCTAATCATTGTTTTTTTTTTAAGTTTAAGACTCTGGTGTGACACATGGTAATTTTTTAAGGCCTGTATACAAGTTTATCTACTGTATATGATTTTGATATATGGAACTAATACACAATTCAACAAATTAAAATTTTCAATTTCATGCTGACCAAAGAAAAAATGCCATTTAATTTTAATGCTGTGTTCATACCTATTGAGGCATAGATTAATAAATGACTATATGTTTTGGCCTGATTGTTTTGAATTGACAGTTCACAACAAAATTGACAACAAAATAGATTTTTTTTTGAATTTCTCCTAGAGATTGATAAATATACAAGCTATAAATATATTCATAAGAGACACATTTAACCGATAATAGAATTAGATGAACATGTATTTACAATATTTTTTTTTCTTCATACATTTAATTAACATGAAAATAATTCCATTTAAGAATGGCCTAATTGCTCAGATGAGTTAGCCGTCAGGAAGTCATTTGTTTTCCTGAAAGATAACATTATTTATGAAGACCTCCGAGACGATTTAATACAAGAGGGTATAGTGAGTGAAAAAGAGGAAGATGCCTACGTATGTGAGAAAAACAACATGCGGTCAAAGCGTGAGAGACTCATTAAATTTATCATTAGGAAGAAAAGATGTCAAATCTTCATAGAGCTCCTGAGCAGAAAATCAGTTTTTGTTGCCAAGAAGATTATTGAAGCTCGTAAACAGGTTGAAGCGGAGGCTTCGAAATGTAAGTTTCACTTGTTCAAACATGTTCACTTAGCTATATGTATAAGTTTCAGTAAGCTATTCTGATCTTGCATTTCCTTACATTCCTCCCTCCGTGCAGTCAGCGTTACATTCAGTTCAGCTTTACTTAACTTTCTTTCTGAAGTTTTGTTTAGAACAACAGGTTAAATTTTACAGAGAATCCCTTCATTAAGACAATTTAATTAAATCATTCTAATGGAAGGCAGGATCATTTCTCATTCGCATAGGAGATAAAAAAAATAGATAGCTTAAAATATGTAGAATTAAAACTGAAATGAAAGATTCCTCGTGTGGATTTAATAATTCAATCAAAAGAAAGAAATTTATATTTAATAATAGCCTCAAAACAAGGTATGTCTCTCTTTTTCAGGTGTCACCAGAAATCCACCATTTTTAGTCACAGATGATCTTCTACAGAAACATATATCATGCCTGCATACACAACTGGAACCTCGTGAAATCGCTGATGAGATGTTTCAGTCTGGTGACATCACAGATAAAGACCACGACACTGTGACTGATCCTGACCGCAAATATACACGTGTGACGGAGCTGCTCCAAATCTTAAAGAAAAGGAATCTGTATTCCAACTTTGTGTATGTCCTTCAGTCTTTAAAGTATTTCCAGGTGCTAGAAATACTTGAAAAGGATATAAAAATGACAAAGAAGCCTTGTAAGTACTTCTCCATAAATATATATTCAAAGGAGCATAAGCCTGATTTTCAAAAAAAAAAAAAAAATGAAGTAAAATTTCATGAGCTCCCTAAAGCAAGAATGTTTCAGACTGATGCATTTAAAGCATGTGCTTTGTAACTTCTTTTTTCTAAGAACTAGCTATCATAATATGCATTTTGGCAGTTTGGATTGCATTTCACCCATGGGAATCTCTGAACTATTAATAAAAAGAGGCCGAGGGGCGACATCGCTCACCTGAGCACATTTGCCAGGAAAAAAGCACAAATCAAATTAGAACTGAAAAGTTTACCAAGGTGGGGAAGGGGGGGGGGGTGGGGGGCTTTGAATTTTAATACTTCTTGAGAATGCCTTCATAACAATAAAGCATACGACTTTGTTGTTCTTGCTAAATAGATTTATTTTAAAACATTTTGTTCCTGTATATTACTTCTTAATAATTTGAATTTGATTCCCCATCGTTTCCCTACCAACCCAAAAGGGCCATGATTTATAATTTGAATTTGATTCCCCATTGTTTCCCTTCCAACCCTAAAGGGCCATGATTTAAACAAATTTAAATCTTCAATACATGGGGATGCTTACATGTCAGTATGACGAAACATTGCTTTTCTGTTCTTGGGATATCGATTTTCCCCTTTATTTTTCCATGTAAAACTTTTTGATCCAAAATTGTATCCTCACACTACCCTTAGGGGTTATGATTTGAAAAAAAAATAAATTCTACACAAACCTGAAAATGATTCCATATACAGGTACATACGAGTATCACTAATCTTGGCTTTGCTACAGTGCAGGGAAATAATTTTGTTACAGCATCAATGCTGATTTTGGTGCTTCCTATGCTTGCTGATTTTGATGCTTCCTTTGCTTGCTGATTTTGATGCTAGTTATCCTTATCCTGATCCTGGTATGATCCTTATCCTGATGCTGGTTTGAAACAAGGTCAATGCTAGTAATGCTACAGGAAGTAGGATTATCCTGCCGGAAGTGGATAATTCAAAAACAGCATCGCTATTTTAATCCATTGATAATAATTTTTGGGGTAATTTTTATATGTTATTTTTTCCTTGATCTGTTTTCACTTTTTACCGAAAAAGTTTGCGATTTTTAACGAATTTCGTTTTGTCGTATTGCAATCGTAAAGAAACAAAATGGCGACACAGTGGAAGTTGCATTGGAAGTAAATCTTCATCTTGCGAAGTTATCGTAACATAGTTATTTAATATTGATTGCAGCTAAAATGCTATGTTTTATCCTTTTTGTGATGCGATGTCATTAGGTGGAATAGCCCTAGTGTGTGCAACGTGTAAGCATGGAAACGTGATGGACAATGAACATGATGAAGTTTGTCAAATCCAGATGAAAATTTATTGCGTGTCCTGTGAATATTTTAGCGAAAATATTAGGCTTTAAATGGAGAAGTCGTAGTCCAAAGAACCAAAAGATTCCCAGTACACTCACTACAACCACTCAGTGGGTATGTAAACAATGTTTGTTTTTTTTAATCAGATTATATAAAAATGGTAAAAATTATGTGAAACAGATTTAGTGTTTCAAAAAATTAAAAACTCAAAATTCTGAGCGATTAAGGCATTTAAACATGTTTAAACCCATGTGATTTTAAAGGTCAATTTTTACCTTAAATGATTTATTTTTAGATTTAGAATCTGCAGGTGCAGTATTCTGTGGTTAATCCACAAGGTATCAAGTGACAAGTCAAATTATACATAACTCATTGTTGCAACCACGGCCAAAATGTACAACCTTCTCCCATTCTGACCGTGGTCAAATGAGAAAGAATATTTTATAGCTCGATCATTAATATTTTGTAGCTCATTAAAATATTGACCAATGCAAATTAAGCAAAGTCAGATATTTTACTTTGATCATGATACCCAGTCGCAGTGTAAGAAACACTGTTGAAAGAATGTAAATTGTTCATTTCAATTGGGATGGAAAGAAACCCATGTTCACTTTCATTGTCATATGACGTACGTCACAATAAAGATTGAGGCATCAAGATAAAGATTAGGAAATTTTTTGATCAAGCAGCCACGAGCAGGAGAGCTTCATGCTTACAACAATGTGGTAATGTACATATATAACCTGACCAACTGATAACCAAGTCCACTCAAACGTAGTACATGTAATTCAATTTTTGAACCAATCTAGAAGTCAACTCTTAAACAATAGTATGCATGGTTACAGATTTTATCTTTGCAGTCTTAGTTAGGCTGTTCCCTATCAAGTACTGTCCTGTGTCTGGTTTATGAGTAGAATCTAGATTGTACGCAAGGCTTTAAACAGATATATAATTTTTTCAGAAGGCAGATATGTATCAATCCTGATATTTGAGCTACAATAGTGAATACAATGTCAATATGTATCAAATATTTGAATTGGTCATGTTGATCAGGAAGTCTTTTTTTGTATTGAACAAGAAGTGTTTGTGAAACACTATGCGGCCGGCGGTAACAAAGTTAAAAAACTTTGTTTTAGCATGTAGGTCACAGTCTAGGTCATAAGGTCTTTGATCTCAATGTCATTTGAAAGAACTTTATTAGTGGTATATGCATACCGAATATGAAGTCTCCATCTCCTATGATTATGGTAAAAGTTCGAAAGAACTATTTTAAGCATGTTGGTCACAGTCAAGGCCAAGGTCACAAGGTCATTGAAGTTGGTGTCTTTTGGAAGAACTTTGTAAGTTGAGTACACATGCCAAATATCAAGTCTCCACCTCTCAAAGTTAAAAAGTTATGGCGCATGTTCAAATTGACAATAGACAGACAGACAAACAGCTGAACAGATAAACAGACAGGACATAAAAAATATACGCTTCGGATCTATTGATCCGGGGGCATAAAAATTTTAAGAACAAACCATTTATTCACAATTTTTTATGAATAATTTTCATTTGGTTCAAAAGTCAGAATAAGCTATATACATGGTATATCCGCTGTAAAACAAAATTATTTTATATAAGTGGTGAGAATTATTACTGGTATGTATCTTTTTATAAAAAACTGGATTTTAAAATATGTTAATCATATGTAATTAACACAAAATATAAGTATAAACAAAAGAATGCCTTATTCTTTTTGCGATATTTAAATATTTTTACACACATATTGATATGCGTACTTAATCCTCACACAGAATCTTTATTATCGATTAATAATTTCAACCTCAATGGCTCCTTTTAAATAGTACTGGAGTTAAAAGAGAAAAGATGAGTGTTTGAAACTGTGATCATTACTTTGATATTAAATAGCCAAATATGTTCAATTTGTAAAGTTACTTATTGTCATTGTGCCCCTATTTCATAGCATAATTTATAAGTACTTTTAAAGTTTTAGTAGTCAGTGACAATTTATTTTCTTTTACCTGTAAAAAAAAATTATTGCTCTAAATGTGTAAAATTAAATATTTCCTCCTCAAGTTTGTATTTTGTATATTTGTGTGATGTGCACATTACTCACTGTATAAAGTTAACAATTGTAGTTAAAACTGTATTTATAGCATTGTTTTTCTAATATTTGGCATGTTTTGAAATTAACCTTATTAATGTTTCATATTTTTCAGGCCCATGACAGAGTAAACAAAGCAGAAATTCCCCCAGGATTAAATTAGCCTGGTCTTTTCTTTGGACCTAAATCCAGCTGATGAAATTCTATCTGTTAAAAAAATGAAAATTTAAGCCAGGAACTTCTGTTAATCAGACAGTGGGATTAAAACCGTCGTGATGATGTGCGCCAAATCCATTGATGACATACATATTATATACATTTTAAAGCTATCTCCCACTTAGATCTAAAATGAAATGGACAGAATTTAAAGTTTAAAGTGGATTTCAAGTGATTTGTGTATTGTAAATAATTAGATATGAGATGTATGTAAATAGAAATGCACCCCTGCTCTTTTGTACAATCTTACAACTGAACATGATGATTGTCCATATCTAAATTGATTTCATAAAATAAATGAAAACATATATTATACAGAAGTGTGATGTTTGTTTTAAGTATAATGTACTAATAGAGAGATAAATGTTTATATGATATTCTGTCCAAGTTGTATTTTTAGTAATTATACATTTAAAAAAAAAATACTCCCCTGATATTTTATTTTTGAGGACACCAACATTCCATGTAAATAGGCAATATTTCTGTGACATGTAGTGTTATTATTGAAGCTGAATGAAGCATATTCAATTCTTAATTGCATTTTCATGAATACCCTAAAAAAGATTGTTTAGATCACTTGAAAAAGAATATCAAACACTTATTGATGACTGGTAAAATTTTCACTGATGTGCCAAGATAAATGAATTTTAATGACAAAAATAGTAATACCGGTGTGTCCCGATTCATTTAATAATTCTTGATATTTTGAATTAAAAAAAAAACATTACTTTATTTGGATTTAATTCATTTAAAACTTTTATTGGAAAATTCCATATTTATAAATCTGCAATAAGAGACTGAATGTTGGGGTAACACATTGTTATTTAGGGTATTTTAGACTGAAGTAAATCATTTAAATACACAGAAATATAAGCTTGTAGCATTTTAAATGCATGGGAAACACACTTTTTAACATTTTAAAATTATGTTCACTATCCATAGGATTTTAAAACCAGTACAGGGAATAAAAATGACTTAACCATCAGCATTAATTTATTATAGCGTGTTCGTTATAACCATGTTTTACTGTGTAGATATTTTTTCCCTTATATTATGATACTAGACAGTGTAAACTAGACAGTGTAATAAATACATTTTCCCAATTGTTTAAGCCAGTAATTAATAAATCATCCAATATTTATATATGTTCTAGTGTAGTAGTGTACCATAGATTAAGAGTTTGCTGCTAGCCAGATATCTTTTCATCTTGATGATATACATGTGACATTAAAACTGTTAATTAAGTTACCGTACAAAACAAATATCGCAATTTTAAAAATGAAAACTTAAC